AACAAATAGCACAATCTTTGTCTTGTCTGACCTTCAGAACAGTTTGCTGCTCTTTTATTAATCTAAAAATGGTTTGACTGTGAACTCTGGTGTTCCAGCAGTTTACAGTTCATAGTTGTTCTGAGTGTTGGTGGTTCCTGGATTGTTTCTGAACATCCTAACAAATGCATTTTCTTCTGAGGGAGGAACAAATGAGTACTGGTCAAGTCAGTATGATAAGTAGTGTCAATAAGTAGTGTCAAACTGAATCTTTTATTTTAAGAGAAACCATCAGCTGCAGTCAATCATGATCGCCAAGACTAAGGTCGATATACATTCCTGGCCGACCCTCCATCCATCCATTATCTTTTTACCTGCCTCTTCCATTTCGGGTCACGGGGGTCGCTGGTGCTCATGTCCGGCAATCACTGTGCGAGGGGCGGGGGACACCCTGGATGTGTTGCAAGTCCATCACAGGGCCGTTCCTGCTCGTCCTCCAGATATTTTTAAATAAAATATTTTCTGTTGTGTTTGGTGATGTCTTTATAACTTTTTGTGATTGAGATTTGTAATAATTAAATTTTGGTGAATCTGTTTGGACTTTAGATACAACACTTTTTTTTTAAATAAAATAAATAAATAAAATCAAAGAATGAACTTTTCTGTCCCTCAGGAACCAGGCGCAGGTTACTGTTAATGTAAAATTCAAAAAACGTTCAATACAAAAACAACTGGACTTTATTTGTAACAGAAGATGTTCAAAGAGTCTTTGAATTGAGAAAGCTCCTTGGATGAGGACTGAAACGTCTTCTGTTACAAATAAAGTCCAGTTGTTTTTATATTGAACATTTTTTGAATTCATCATGTCCTGGATGACTGAGAATCTTCACCAGCATATTGCTGATGTAAAAATACCACAAGGAACAAAATATTTTACTTTGTCATTGACATCTGGCATTAAACATAAATCTGACATTTAAAGCAACTGTTAAGTTCAATGCAAAAATCAATGCAGACATGTTCCTGTTTTTAGCATTCTACACCGTTTTATACAAAGTTTACAAAGTGAAGATCCAACGAGTCTGCTGCTCCCTTAAGAGAAATTTACTAATTGCCTTTACATACATATATATATACATATATATATATATATGTGTGTATATATATATACATATATATATATATATATATATGTATATATATATATATATACATACATACATATATATATACATATATACATATATACATATA